TCCCGGGGGGGTGGGACCGTCCCAAAGTAGTCTGTGGGGGGGGGGTCTTCAGAGAATTTTGGGAGAAAAGGTGAGTTTTAACAGATAGGGGTTCCCTATCTTCAATGGCATTTCAGGCCATTGAAGGCACAGTCTGAGCTTGGCATGTTTGGAATCAGTTGTTGCAAAAGGACATGAAATAAAACAATGTGGACAAGGTAAGAAGAAGAAAAAGAAGGGAAATTTATTTTCTGACTCCAATATTTATAGACTTATCAAAGTGCTACCAATGCCACTGGACATGACAACAGTCCATCAAATTTCTCCTCCAGAGAAGAACGTAAACCAATAATTACTTACATAAAATTGTGAGAAACTTCCTTACCAGACAGTAAACATCAGAAGGCTGAGAAGAACAGGGTGACAGTCAGTCTCTGGGTGGGGCAGTGGTGGCTGGGCACGGTGGGGTGTGGGGGCTGTGGCACTGACTGCTCCTCCTGTGTCCCCTCGCAGGCCCCCGCCCCCGCAGCAGAAGGTTGTACCTCAGGGACCGCCTCCAGCACAGCAGAAATGTTTACCTCAGGGACAGTACTTCCCTTCCCGACCGGCACCTTTGCCTCCCAAATAGCTTTTGGCTCCCCAGGGCCTTTGTGCCAGCTGACCTGTTGGCTGAAATTGCAGTTCCCCTTCTGGCATCCCGTGGCAGTGCCGGCAGCCTCCCTCTGCAGCCTGGGACAGGGCAAAGGAGAGATCCCAACCAGGAATGTAGAACTTTACACTCAGATACCTCGACCAAAGCTCCAGGGACTGAAACACCCAGCCTGTCCCTCGCTCTGTCCAAGCTTTGCCGCTGCAGCCAGGCTGGCAGCAGGAGTGCAGCAGCCTGCAGGGAAATGGTCCTGAAATCCAGCACGTGGGTTTGGGTTTCCCCATTTCTGCCACGAGCCCTGGTAAGGAAATTTGTCCGATTTGTTGTTGTCTCTCTGACTGTGCAGTGAGGAATTGGAGTAACCCGTTTGCAAAGCAAGGAGATCTGGTCAGTTAATTTACAGTTACTCTGCATGGACTGGAAAGTGTTTCCCATGTACACCTTAATGGCATAAATGAAATGAGGTCTCAGAGGACTTTTTCAGGAAGAGAGATCTATTTTAAACATGTTTATGCATGTATATATGTTTATAGATGCATAATAATGCACTTAAATTCTTAACTCCATGCTGACTGACACTAAGCTGTGCTGTAGGAGCACTGAGTTTAATGCTTTTTAATTAGAGAGTGGCTAAACGAGACTCCTGTACTAATTCCCACTAATACAAGGATGGGCAGTGAAGATAAAGGTACGAGAAGACATATTCTGGTTTTAAAAAATGGGGGGCTGTTAGGTTTTAATTCAGGTCTAAAGACAGCAGCAGTCCCTGCAGAACACTGGGAAGTGGGAAGTGTCTCTGCCTGGACCACCAGAGCTTCTCTGAGCGCTTTAAATGGGAACCTGGTGACTGATGCACCCCATCCTTTAACAGCCAAGCCCTTGTGGTGTCAGTCTGGATGATTCTGGGCTGCTGTGTGTCAGACTAGGCTGCCCTCTGCTCCTGCACCATGGGCTAGACTGGATTTTGGAGCTCCTCCTGAGCAGAGGTGCTCAGCACCCACTGTGCTAGGAGAGGGAGCTGTTGATTCTGATCCCGTGGTGCCGTGGGTAGAAGCTGGATGTCATGATCACAAGTAGAAATCTATTGCACAACTTGCTAAAAGTGAGGTTCTATTGCACAAACTTGCTAAAAGTGAGATAAGTGCTGAAGAGCGTGCTGGGCTGTTTCACTCTGTGCTCGCCACAAGCACAGCTCAATCTGTAAAATCCCCCTAATATTGCCAAAAATAATCTTTTTCTCTGTATATACATACATAAATATATATATAGTGTGTGCAGTAATAAAATACTTGAACTCCTGTGGTTTCCCATAAACTTAGATTAAGATTTATAACACTATTAAAATCTGTAAAATGTCACCTAGAATTTCACCAACTGTACTGGTGGGGGGGTGTCTCCTTTTTGTTCCAAGATAATCAATTACTTCCTAATTGTGTTGCTGTGTCCCGCTCTGCCTGAGCGGGCTGTCTGTCTGTCTGTCTGTCACAATGAGCTCTGCAGCTGGATGCAGCCCATCTCCAGCCCTGGTCAGAGGGTGGGGAAAGAGGAGGGGATCCAGGGAATGAAGTCATCCAGAGAGATGTAATTAACTGTGTGTGTGAACTAAACTATGCTGAACACGGTGCCTTCACTAGACAAAGAGATTTTGTACTCCCGGCGTTGGAACGGGGACGTGGGGTTGGAGGGGCGATCCCATGGCCAGGAAATGGCTCCAGATTTTGGTGGTGAATACTGAAGATGACTACTGACTTTGTTTTGTAAAATGTGTGGATACCTGTCCCGGGCAGGTCGGGAGCCGTGTCCACCTCTGCAGCCGGCCCCGCGCTGCTCTCTGGCCCAAGGGCTGTTCCCAACCCCTTTGTACAGACCCAACAAGCAATAAAGATGCCAGTTTTGTACAAAAAACCCTCTCTGCCTCAGCGTCTGCTTTGGGGGGGCTGTTGCTGGTGGGGCTGTTACCTGTGGGCAGTTACTGGTGGGCTGTGGGGCCGTTACTGGCGGGGCTGTTACCGGCCAGCCACGGGGCCACTCTGTGCAATGCCACCCCTGCTGCTCCTGCTGCTCCTGGAGCTGCTGCAGGAGGCTGGGCAGGGCCCCCCCGAGCCCCCCGCCCGCCAGGACTGGGCTCAGCCATGGGGGTCTCTGTCCCCTGTGGGCGGGCGGGTTTGGTCCCAGATCACAATCCCACAGCAGCTGGGGGCCAGCACAAAAGGAGTGGAGGGGCTGAAGCAGGCACGGTGCTGGGGGGCTCTGGGGAGGCTGGGACAAGGGAGGGAAAGTGAGGTTCAGCTGCAGAAAGAGGGCTGGGGGAGTGCAGATGTAACAATGGCACCACAGCAGAGCTAACAGCACCATGCTGGGTGTCCCCACGCTGTGCTCCCCCTTTGCTGTTCACAGCAGGCCTTGGATCGTGCCATTCCCAACTCCCTGTTCCCAATTCTGCCCTTCTCTGCTTTTCTGTATGCACAAGGAGGCAGTGTCCTACACCCTGAGGATCGAGGGGAGGCCCTACACCATCCACCTGCAGCAGCAGTGAGTTGGCCCTGTGGCTGCCCTGCTCCCTGGTGGCTGCAGGACCTGCCAGAAGCTCTGGGTGGTGGATACTGCTGTAAGTACCTCACTTTGTGCCTCTCTCTTGCAGTGCCTTTTTATCAGATGATTTCCAGACTTACGTGTCTGGTGAGCAGGGATCTTTGCACTCTGATTCTGCCCACGTTGAGGTAACCTGGCCTTGTTTTGGCTGTCTGTCTCTGCCCAAGGCAGCTGCTGGAGCTGTCTGGGTGGTGGGTAAGGCCTGCCCAGCCTTGCTCCTTGTCCTCTGTCACATCACAGGGAGGCTGCCACTACTGGGGCTACATCGATGGCTTCCCCAGCTCAGCAGTGACCCTCAGCACCTGCTCGGGGCTCAGGTAAAGCCCCAGCCCCATCCCTGAGCTGCCCTCCCTGGCAGGAACAAACAGCTGGTGCCCAGGAGCAAGTGGGCAGCGCTGGTGCCCTGGCAGGGGTTTGCTGCAGTTTGAGGACGTGAGCTACGGCATCCAGCCCCTGGGCTACTCCCCTGCCTTCCAGCACGTGCTGTACCGAGCCAGTGAGGAGCAGGTGGCACAGGCCCTGCCAGCCCACAGCCCCCCCGAGGCAGGGCTGGCAGCCTGGGAGATGCTGGACAAGGCTCCCAGGGATGATGAGGTGAGCAGTGCCTGTTCTCACAGTGCCCTGTCCTGTGAGGAGGGGCTGATTCTGCTGGAGGCTTTGGCCAGACACTTGGACACAAGCTTTGAGCAAGCACAGCCAGCAGCAGCAGCAAGGCCACCAGAGAATGCAGAATGTGTGCTTTGAAGCCCATTTTTCTCTTTTAGCCCCTCTCAGCCGCTGCACAATCTCCCAAATACCTCACAGTGTACGTGGTTTTGGACAAGGCTTTGGTAAGTCCGTGCCAGCCACTTTTTCCTTGTCTTTGCCTGACTTCTCTGAGCATTGGTAACATTTCCCAGCTTTTATGTGGATTTGGTTTCCATTTTGTGTGCTGCGGATTTTATAGGAAATAAGGAATGTGAATTTGTAGCTCATGTCTCCATGGCTCGGTGTTGGGAATCATTTCAGTGCTCCAACACTGACCTGCTTCACCCTGGTAAGCACCTTGTCTGCCCTTGTGTCCTCTTGGGTTGTTTTTCAGTACAACTATATGGGATCAGACCCGAATGCTGCGACACAGAACATAATCCAGGCCTTCAATTTAATCAACAGTGTGAGTCCTTAAGTCTGGTTTGTACTGCAGTGAGATGGGGCACGAGGGGGATGTTGATGTTAGCAGTGGCCACCTCTTTTCTAGCTGCTTTTAGGTTTAGGAGGATGTTATGTAAAAAATTCCATGTTTCCTGAGAAGGTTTTTCCTCTGGATATGTCAGTCTGTGATAAAAGAACATCTTTCCTGTGTGGTGGCCATGCAGATGTACAGATAAACAGGCAGTTTGCCTCAGGGCAGCCAAACCCTGCCTTTTGAGGACTCCTGGGTTGCTTCCCTCTCTGTGCAGCAGACCCCTGATCTCACTGATCCAATTAACCTGCTTACTCTCAGGTGCTTGTAAGCAACTTCCAGTCCTTTCCAAGGTTCTTTATTCCACTGGTGCTCTTATGGCTCACTCGTGTAATGAGAAATTATTCCCAAAACCAAGTATGAAGTTATTGGACTTTGGTTCAGGCCTCTTGCTGTATCTCTTTAGGAGTGTTCATTCTTTTTGGCTACAGATGTCACTGAGG